TTCTGTTTGGATGATCTGTCCATTGGTGTAAGTGGAGTGTTAAAGTCCCTACTATTATTGTATTACTGTCTATTTCTCCTTTTATGTCTGTTAATAATTGCTTTATATATTTGGGTGCTCCTATGTTGGGTGTATAGATATTTATGAGTGTTATATCCTCTTGTTGGATTGTTCCCTTGATCATTGTGTACTGCCCTTCTTTGTCTCTTGTTACAGTTTTTGTTTTAAAGTCTATTTTTTCTGATTTGAGTATTGCTACCCCAGCTTTCTTTTAATTGCCATTTGCATGGAGTATCTTTTTCCATCCCTTCACTTTCAGTTTGTGAGTGTCTTTAGGTCTGAAGTGTGTCTCTTGTAGGCAGCATATATTTGGGTCTTGTATTTTTATCCAGTCAGCTACCCTATGCCTTTTAATTGGAGCATTTAGTCCATTGACATTTAAAGTAGCTATTGATAAGTATGTACTTACTGCCATTTTTTTACTTTTTTTCTCAGTGTTTTAGTAGTTCTTCTCTGTTCCTTTCTTCTTCTCTTGCTCTCTTCCCTTGTGGTTGATGGCCTTCTTTAGTATTATGTTCGGGTTCCTTTCTCTTAGTTTTTTGTATATTTATTATATGTTTCTGGTTTGTGATTACCATGAGGTTCATATATAGTAACCTACGTATATAGCAATATGTATTATGTTGATGGTCTCTTTAGTTTGACCTCTATCTGAAAGCTCTACTCTTTTACTCCCTTCCTCCCATATTTTATGTTTTTGATGTCATATCTAACCTCTTTTTTGTGCATTTGTCTCCGTTACCCTCTTATGATGGAAATAGATAATTTTTCCTATTTGTGGTCTTCTCTTTTCCCCTTAAATCAGTCCCTTTAACATTTCTTGTAGCACTGGTTTCTTGGTGACAAACTCCTTTAATTTTTGCTTGTCTGGGAAACTCTTTATCTCTCCTTCCTTTCTGAATGATAACCGTGCTGGGTAGAGTGATCTTGGCTGTAGGTTTTTTCCTTTTAGCACTTTATAGCATGCCACTCTCTTCTAGCCTGTAAGGTTTCTGCTGAGAAGTCCGCTGATAGCCTTATGGGTTTTCCTTTGTGTGTAATTTGTTGTCTTTCTCTTGCGGCTTTTAGGATTCTCTCTTTATCTTTAATTCTGGACATTTTAATTATGATGTGGCTTGGTGTGGGCCTCTTTGAATTTATCCTTTTTGATGTTCTCTGTGCTTCCTGTAGCTGGATGTCTGTTTTCTTCCTTAGATTAGGGAAGTTTTCATCTATTATTTCTTCAAATAGATTCTCTGCCCCTTTGTCTCTCTCTTCTCCTCTAGGACACCTATAACACGGATGTTAGTGCACTTGATGTTGTGCCAGAGGTCCCTTAGACTGTCCTCTTTCTTTTTAATTCTTTTTTCTTTTATCTGTTCAGCTTGGGTGATTTCCTCTGTCTTTCATCCAGCCCGCTGATCTGTTCTTCTGTATCCTCTACTCTGCTTTTAAGTCCCTCTAGTGAACTTTTCCTGTCCAGTATTGTATTCTTCATTTATGATTGGTTCTTTTTTAATCTTCCATTTCTTTGTTGATGTTCTCACTGAGTTAATCCATTCACATTAAAAAGATCATACACCATGATCAAGTGGAATTTATTCTGGGGATGCAGGGATGGTTCAACATCCACAAATCAATCAACATGATACACCACATTAAAAAAATGAAGAATAAAAATCACATGATCATCTCAATAGATGCAGAGAGAGCATTTGACAAGATACAGTATCCATTCATGATAAAAACTCTGAATAAAATGAATATAGAAGAAAGTACCTTAACGTAATAAAGGCCATATATGACAAACCCACAGCCAATATCATCCTCAAGGGTGAAAAACTGAAAACTATCCCTGTAAGAACAGGAACCAGACAAGGATGCCCACTTTCACCACTCCTATTTAACATAATATTGGAAGTCCTAGCCAGAGCATTCAGGCAAGAAAAAGAATTAAAAGGGTTCAAAATTGGAAAGGAAGAAGTGAAACTGTCACTATTTGCAGATGACCTGATTTTATATATAGAAAACCCTAAAGAATCCACCAAAAAACTTTTAGAAGTAATAAATGAATACAGTAAAGTTGCAGGATATAAAATCAACATACAAAAATCAGTTGCATTTCTATACACTAAAAAGGAAGCAGCAGAAAGAGAAATTAAGAATACCATCCCATTTACAGTTGCGGCAAAAAGAATAAAATACCTAGGAATAAACTTAACCAAACAGGTGAAAGATCTGTACACTGAAAACTATAAAACATTGCTGAAAGAAATTGCAGAAGACACAAAGAAATGGAAAGATATTCTATGCTCTTGGGTTGGAAGAATTAACATAGTTAAGATGTCCATACTTCCTAAAGCAATCTATAGATTCAATGCAATCCCTATCAAAGTTCCAACAACATTTTTCACAGAACTAGAATAAAGAATCCTAAAATGTATATGGAACAACAAAAGACCCCGAATAGCCAAAGGAATCCTGAAAAAAAAGAATAAAGCTGGAGGTATCACAATCCCTAATATCAAAATATACTACAAAGTAGTAATAACCAAAACAGCATGGTACCGGCACAAAAACAGACATACATATCAGTGGAATAGAATCGAGAGCCCAGAAATAAACCCATACATCTATGGACAGCTAATTTTCGACAAAGGAGCCAAGAGCATACAATGGAGAAAGGAAAGTCTCTTCAACAAATGGTGCTGGGAAAACTGGACAGCCACATGCAAAAAAATGAAAGTAGACCATTATCTTACACTATACACAAAAACTAACTTAAAATGGATTAAAGACTTGAATTTAAGACCCAAAACCATGAAACTTCTTCAGACGAAAACATAGGAAGTACTCTCTTCGACATCAGTCTTAGCAATATATTTTCAAGTACCATGTCTGACTGGGGAAGATAAACAATAGGAAAAATAAGCAAATGGGACTACATCAAACTAAAAACCTTCTGCACAACAAAGGAAACCATCAGTAAAACAAAAAGACAACCTACTAACTGGGAGAAGTTATTTGCAAACCATATATCTGATAAGGGGTTAATCTCCAAAATATATAAAGAACTCATACATCTCAACAACAAAAAAACTAACAACCCAATTAAAAAAAGGACAAAAGACCTGATACTCCAAAGAAGATATACAGATGGCCAACAGACACATGAAAAGATGTTCAACATCATTAACTATCAGGGAAATGCAAATCAAAACTACAATGAGATATCACCTCACGCCCATCAGAATGGCTATAATTAACAAACAGGAAATAACAAATGTTGGAGAGGATGTGGAGAGAAGGGAACTCTCATATGCTGCTGGTGGGAGTGCAAACGGGTGCAGCCACTATGGAAAACAGTATGGAGATTCCCTCAAAAAATTAGGGATAGAACTACCATATGATCCAGCTATTCCACTGCTGTGTATTTATCAAAAGAACTTGAAAACACCAATGCATAAAGATACATGCACCCCTGTGTTCATTGCAGCGTTATTCACAATAGTCAAGACTTGGAAGCAACCTAAGTGCCCATCAAGGGACAAATGGATAAAGAAGATGTGGTATATATACACAATGGAATACTACTCAGCCATAAGAAACAATGAAATCCAGCCATTTATGACAACATGGATGGACACTGAGTGTATTATGCTAAGGGAAATAAGTCAGAGGGAGAAGGTCAAATACCATGTGATCTCACTCATAAGTAGAAGATAAAAGCAACAAGAAAAAATCACATAGAGACAGAGATTGGATTGTTGGTTACCAGAGGGGAAGAGGGGAGGGAGGAGGGTGAAAGGAATGATTAGGCATGTGTGTCTGGTGAAGGATTGTAATTAGTATTTGGGTGGTGAACATGATGTACTCTATGTGGAAATAGAAGTATAATGATGTACACCTGAAATTTTTACAATGTTATAAACCAATGTTACCACAATAAAAGAAAAAAGGAATCACTGCAATATCTAAAAAAAAAAAGACAGAAGAAGAAGTAATGGAATGATAAATACAGAATTCAGGATAGCGGTTACCTCTGAATAGGGGTGAAAGAGGGACGGAATCAGATTGGGGAGCACACAGGAAGTGAAAATGTTCTGGTTTTGGGGTTGGGTAGTAGGTTCTTGAGTGTTCATTTTATTATTAGGCTTTAAAACTCCCGTCTGTATTACATATATTCTCTTTTTTTAATGTTTCAAATATTACATAATAAGACGAGAGAGAGAAGGCTTTCCAGATCTACCTCCAGAGGGCAAGCCTGCGCCCTGATCCAGGTCCTTATGACTGGGAAGACCAAGCAGAGCGGAACACACAGGCTTGGAAGGCAGACAGGTCCCTGGAAAGACAGGAAGCAGAGGGGCAAGAGGAAACTTTTGGAGGTGATGGATTGCTCATCATCTTGACTGCAGTGATGGTTTCTCGGATGTGTACTTAGGTCAAAACTCATCAAATTGTACACTTTAAACATGCACAGTTTATTGTACCAATAAAGCTATTAAAATCAAAATACAGGAAGAGGTTGGAGCCAAGCCCTTCTCCCCTTGACCAATGGGATAGTCTGTCTTCCTTCCAGGGAGGAGTGCAGGAATGGTGGAGCGCTTCCTTGTACCCTCCCTGCCCCACAGACGGTTCCCTCCTCTCCTAGGAGGATAAGGAGGTGCATTTTGTTTCTTCCAGCCTAATCGTGGTAATACCTTTTCCCCAAAAAACGTTTTATGAATTGTGGCTATACACCATTGAGTGAATCCAGTTTTTAAAAGGTCAGATACTATATTGCCTGAGTGAAATATCTAGAAACCGTTCTTCAACAGTTAAGAATTTTGAGATAAAATTAATGAATATTCCTTTTCAGTAACTAAAGCATTATTTTGATCTTACAACCTATAAGACTTTAACAAATACCCATGTATTTGAAGTGAAGTTTTCCTGACATTAAGCTATTGTTGAACACTTAGATGGTGTGTTGAGACCTGTACCTCTGGATGAAGAACAGCACCAGAACAAGAAGTTGCGTCTTGGAAAGCACTGAGTCCTGCCTAAACTAGAGTGAAAGCCTCAAGAATTTTTATTGCACTTTTTAAATTCAGCCTTGTTAACTCAGAAAATGAGGATGGATTTTGTGAAAAATAGAAAAAATTTTTTAAGGAAGCTAATTTATTACCAGCATATGAATGATGTTAATGAGAATATTTTTATTTTAGATTTATTTCTGTTTTCTAGATTGTAGTGGTATGTTCTTTTATTACACTAAATGAGGTAGCAATAATTTAATGAGACCGATTTAATCACTCATAGGAATTGATTTCTCCTTCTCTTAGCTTTATATTAGCCAGTTTGAAAGGGACAGAGTCACTGGAAGTCACTTCTCAGCAGAGAATTACACACTTTTTAAGAAATAGTAATTCCTTTGGATTATGAAGGTGATAATTAGTAAACTGCTCCAGGGAAATAACTGGTGACTTAGCCTTTTTAAGTCAGTGTATGGCTCACTAAAAGTTCACATTTATACCCAAAACTTTTAATAATCAGAATTTACTTAATTAGAATTTAATCATAAAATTTCCATTATAAAAGTATATTCCTCACAAGGTTATTAATTTTTCTTAAATCTTTCAATATGTAAAAATCACAATGGTTTTGGATTAGAGTGTTATGGCTGATTTTGGGTAGCAATAGGAGGAGAATATCATTCTGAGACAGTATCACTATTTCATATCACTGACTCTCGAAATCACTAACATTGAGCCTCAAATTTGTTTATGATGTTAACAGAGAAGAAATATTTTAATCTGGAATATTGAAAATAGCTTTTCAAATTCCATTCATAAATGCTGCCCATTTTCCCTCCATATAATTAACACAGAGTATCTCACGGCTTTGAATGGAAGGCCTTTTAAAAACATTTGCAAACCCTGAGAATACTGAAAATCTTGCAAGTAAACATTATGGTCAATTCAGTTACATTCCAGATTGCTCTTCGTGAGTCCTCTCGTTTTTATTTGCTGAGAAACTTTCAGAAAATTAGTCCAAAGATGGAGGTGCATGTATCGTACTTTCCTGGAGTTAGGGAGGGAGTTGCATGGCCCACGGCCCGCAGGCCTGCGCATGACGTCCTGAGGACTGACTCCCCTGGCTGTGGAGGGGTGATCAGGTTTCCTCTGCTCTTGTCCTCTTCCTTTCCATGGCATCACACGGCCTCACGAGGCCTCCTCCCAGTTTCTCAGAATTGTACACAGGACAATCCAAATGTTGACCCGAGGCCCCTGCTTGTACAGCAGCCTGCTTATGTGCCCTGGGATTCGAAGTCACCATAGCAGGCAGTTGAGAACTGCCGTAAACGTTTTAACACAAAATGCTGGGCATGGAATAGAGAGGGAGGGGAGGAAAGATACCCTGAGAGATAACTAAGGCTAATTTGAAAACCAGTAGTTATGCAATTCTTCAATAGTTATCAATATGAAAATACTCAGATTTGCTTACATCCCCGATTGCTTTAATATAGTGATTATACGTGCTTAAGTTCATATTAGATTTGTTGTTTTTTGCTAATATGTCAACTGCATCAAGTATTTTATAAATCAGTCAGCAAATATTTTGTAAGACCCAAATGCCTGGTATACTGCCACGTTTATGGATTTTGTGTTTGGCATTGGGGGGGATATAAGAAGGGAGAAACATACAAATGGGAAAAGCTATGATTATGAAGTGGAAAATTGATATTTCCATAGCACTATTAAAATGGTCATGATAAGGTCATATTTCCTTCTGTACAACTGGTCAGATTTCAACATTTCTTGAGAGTTAACTGTATAGTACCAGAAGGAAAGCTCTATGAGAGCAGGTATATATATATAAATTTTTTAAACTACTGAATCTAGTGCCTACAATGGTGCCTGGCACATAATAAGCATTCAATGAATGTTTGTTGATTGATCGAATGACCGCTGGACACTGGCTAGACCCTGGAGATGAGATGTGTAACAAATGCTCCCTGATCTCAAGAGCTCACAGTCTAGTGGACGATATGAGCATCTAATCAAGTAACCGAGAATGATGCCCAGGCTGGGGCCCCTAGACCGGCAGCATTAGCGTCACCCGGGCACTTGTTAGAAATGCACATTCTTAGGGCCCACCCAGACCTATTGAATCAGAATTTCTGGGAGTGAGGCCCAGCAATCTGCATTTTCATACACCTTCCAGCAGATTCTGATGACCTTTAAGGTTGAGAACCACCCTGTGGATGTAAGTATAGGAGCAGTGGTGGCGCAAAAGAGGCCAAGCCTATGCTCTGGTGAGCATGGAGAAAGGGTGCTTGTTTTGTAGAGGTGAGGTGCTTATGGTGGGTCCTGAAGGGGGCACAGGGGGTGGCCAGACAAACAGTGGGGATGAGATGAACTTCTGAGAGAAAGTAATGGATGACATGGATGGTCGCACTGGGAAGTAGGAAAGGGAAGTGACTGGAGATGCACAGGTTGCTGAGCTGTACCGAGAGCCCCCAGGGCAGCAAAATTGACTAAGATCTAGTAATTCAGAGTCAAGAGGCTTCATCCCTTAGCCTGAGAAATCAGAATTTGCACTTAAACAAATGTACAACGTCTTCCTTAAATTCAAAGATTGGGAGGGTAATACTAAGTTCATAATTTGAAAAGACTGGCTCTGCATTTGTTTACTGCCAAGTGACAGTGGAATATGCTGACACGAGGTGGCATAAGCATGGGCCAGGTCCCCTCCATTCCTGTCGAGTACACACAGGTTTCTGTGTATTGTTTTATTGTATTACTGCTGAAGTTTTTTTTTAATCCAGCTTTTCTATGGGTTTTTCTTCCTTGGTTACTTATTGAGTTTGAAAATATACCCTTCTCTCATAAATCTTCCTCATTTTATGCATGAACAGTTCTGCTTTAGGATCTGCCACAGCAATCTGCTTTTGACCTACTTTAGAGCAAGTGGCATTAAACACCATTTTTTTGTGTGAGAGGAAAATCGGCCCTGAGCTATCATCCATGCGAATCCTCCTCTTTTTGCTGAGGAAGACCGGCCCTGGGCTAACATCCGTGCCCATTTTCCTCCACTTTATGTGGGATGCCACCACAGCATGGCCTGACAAGCGGTGCCTCCCTGCACGCCCGGGATCCGAACCCGGGCCGCCATCGGCGGAGCGCGTGCACTTAACCACTACGCCGGCCCCATTAAACACCATTTTTTTAAAGTCCTGGTCTTGCCAATAGTGGCCACGTGGCATTTAGCTGAGGCTGTTACTATTGCTTGTTAGGATTAAGCATCAGGTTAGTACTTTCATTTCAGGTGTGACATTCCTGAAGTCTTTTCACTTTTTTGCTATCATTAAATTATAACATATTTCAGACATATAAAAAAGTATAAAGAAATAGTTATAACAAATACTCATGTACCCAATATGCAGGATTGACATATATTAGCACTTGGAGTCTTAGTCATAAGTAATTTCGTCCTCTTTTGACATCTAGGTTAGAGCCTTACTTTGCATCTTTTCTACATTTGCTTTCAAGGGCACATCGTGGATTCCTGAAAGACTGTCCATGCTCATGCAGGACCGCGGTGTTCAGAGCCACCCTGAGAGCCTCTCGGGACTGTTCCTGAGGGAGCTGTGATTACGCCTCCTTCTAAGAGACTTTATAACCAGTTTGTTTCATGCACTTTATTACCTTTTGTCTGTCAAATTTCTTCATTCTCCTTAGCCTGTAGTGCTTCTCCTAATAGGAAAAGATAACTAGCTGCTCTAACCTGGGTGACCCACTTCTGGTTAGCCAGGGAGGTTTATCGGGCCAGAGTCTCTGCGGGTTTTCTAACTTCTGTGTAGCTGAGCAGACTGGTCTCCGACCAGTTGTACTGCGGCCTGTTGTGCAATATGGTGAAGGCAGGGTCCTAACTTGGGTTGTGGAGGCCTGCCTCAGCCACCCTAAGAAGGCGATTCTGAGTTATGGCTCAGGCCGCCTGTGTAAGGTGCTGACTCTGGAACTTAGGCCTGTGGTACCTATGGTACCATTCACTCAACGCCTGAGCACCGACATGCCACAGGCTGTGATGGACTCTCTGCTCAAAATGGAAACCGTGTAATTTGCTTTAGACGCTTTATAAAATAAGAGAAATTAAATTTGTATTGTCAAATTTCACAAAATTGAATTTTGAGAAGTTTAATAAATTTGTTCAGTAGCAGACTGCAAAAATAATCTTTATTTTCCAGAGTTGACAGTGTACCTTTACCTCCTAGCACAAGTTTAAAGCTATGAGTTATTCCAGATACTACCTGAAGGATGTGCCAGAAAACCCTTTGCTGATGTTCTAGAGTAGTTGTACTCTAACACAAGAAAATCAATGTAGATGAGGGTTCCCCAAACCTTGGCACTACTGGCAACTTGGGCCCAGTGATTCTTTGCTGTGCGGGGTCGTCCCGTGCATTGTAGAACATTCCTGGTCTCCACCCACCAGATGCCACCCACAAATGTTCCCTAGGGGGCAAAGTTACCCCAGCTGAGAACCCCTGATGTAAACCATGAAGTGAGTATCAGTAAGTATTTTACTACCCACGCCTGAGTGTGTCAGACCTGAGAGCCGTTCATCTAGTACCACCGTGACACAGGCTTTTTTTATGGTCAGATGCCAAAATTTGAGAATGACAAATTCCACTGTGTCATTGTCAGATGTCTTAAAGAAATTAGGTTTAGCGTGGATGAGTCAAAAGCAGTTTGCAGTCTTTCACTTCTCCAATTTTAATTTAGAGGGGAAAAAGTTATAACCCATAGCTTTGCTTGGTTTTGTTTTTTTGTTTTTCAGGTTACTGATACATATGAATCAGCCAGACTATTTTTTAAACACACTCAACCTGCAGTAATTTTTTCTACCTGATTCCAAAGGGTAATGGAAGATCTGCTGCTGTGGCAGCAGCTTATATATAAAATAGAGGTAGACTGGCACAGGTGTTAGCTCAGACAGAATCTTCCTCAACAACAATAAGAAAAGAAAAAGAAAAGTGGATCTGGGGTACAACAACGGGGTCACCGGCATGCACACGGGTTATAGAGGTAGAGGTGGGCATGGTGGGCCGTCTAGGAAAGGGGTGGATGGAGAGGAGGGGTGGGAGGGACAGAGCCTGCAGGCTGCTACTCAAGTGTGAGGAATAGGAGGGGGAGCCGAGAAGGCAGATGAGGAAGAAGACCGGGAGAGTGAGGTTCCTAGAGCCAGGAGAGGACAGGGCTTTGAGAAGAGGCCGTCTGTCACCTGCAGCCAAGAGGGTGAGTTAGATGAGGCTGGAATTGCCCCTTGGATCTGGCAACACTGAGGTCTTGTTTGGCCTCTAGGAAGAGCGTTTTCAGGGGAGTTGGGGGAAACCAGGGTTGGGGGGTGGGGGGTACATGGGAGGTGAGGAGGTGGGCCCATCCCTGCAGTGACTTGAGAAGTTTAGGGCAGAGACATGGAAGTGGGAGCTGGAGTGGGCCTGAGGGATAAAGGAAGGTGTTTTTATAACGGGTATCAGTGGGCAACATGGAGAGCCGAGGCCAGGTGATGGCCAGGGGTGGTGAGG